CGCGCAGTCTCCAAGCAAATAAAAGAAAAACAACAACAAGTAAGTCAACATAAAGGGGGAGCCAAAAGCACCACACAAAGTGAAGCTATGGGGGGAGCAAAGCCGAAGACCTCAGAAGAAGCGAGGCAAGGCAGCTCATCGCTTCAGAAAGGTCAAGATGACAATTAGGCTTTTATCTTGGAATGTTAACGGATTAAACTCACCACAAAAAAGGAACAAGTTATTTACATATCTGAGACAATTTAATAATGACATAATTTGTCTACAAGAAACTCATATTCGAACTCAAGATCACAAATATCTGATAAACTCCAAATTAGGAACACATTTTATAGCTTCAAATTCGGAAAAAAAGAATGGTGTGGTTATTTATGTAAATAAAAGATTGTCTGCTAAAATTATAGAAGCAGATGAAGGTGGTAGGTTTATTGCAATTGAATTGTATACAGCAAATGGCCAAATTCTTCTGATTGGAATTTATGCTCCGAACCAACAACAGGATCATTTTTATAAGACTTTACATAATAAAATATTGCAATGGGATTATAGATCTATTTTAATAATGGGAGATTGGAATGGAGTAATTGATTCTAAACTAGATAAAAAGAGTTTGGCGAAAGTAAGGATCAGACTACCACAGACTTTTTTTGATATGAAAGAAGATTTGGAATTAAAAGATATCTGGAGAATTTACAACCCAAAAGAATTGGACTATACTTTTTTCTCTGACAGACATAGATCTTTTTCCAGGATTGACTTTATCTTGTTATCAGATGATTTACTTGTTAAAACAAAAAGAACAAAGATATTTCCAAGAACTTTAACTGATCATAGTTCTGTATGGATAGAAATTGAGATGGGAAAAACTGAGAGAAGGTCATGGAGATTAAATGAAAATTTGTTTAGATATGAAAAAAATATAACAGAACTTAAAAAACAGATGAAAGAATTTTTTGAGATGAACTTGAATAAGGGTACCCCAATTGAAATTGTATGGGATGCGAGTAAAGCGTATATGAGAGGGGTACTCATTTATATGAACTCTAAACATAAACAGAATCGACAAAAGAAAAGACTTGAATTGGAAGTAGAAATAAAGAATAAGGAACAGCTACTCATTAAAAACCCAACAGATGAAAGAATATCTGGTGCTATAAAACTTTTGAAAGATCAATTTCAAATGCTCTTGGCGGAGCAAGCTGCAACAAATTTACAATATGCGAAGCATAATATGTTTTGTAATGCTAATAAACCGGGAAGATGGTTGGCCTACACCTTAAGGAAGAAGCAGAGTATACGGACTATTGAGAGTATTGATATTGGAGGGAAAGAAATTTCTCAACAAAAATTGATTAAAGAAGTCTTTGTAGAATACTATACTAAATTATATGCCAAAGATGATATACAGAATGGACTTATAGAAAAATATCTAGAAGAGAAAAGAGTCTCAAAAATTACTAGTCAACAAAAAGAAAGAATGAACTACCCTATAACAGTTGAGGAAATAATTGCAGCAATTAAACAATTGAAAACAGCTAAAGCTCCTGGAACAGATGGATTGACTGCAGTGTATTATAAAACTTTACAAGCAGAAATGGTGGAACAACTTAGAGACTTATTTTGCAATATACAACAAGGGGGTAAAATACCCCCATCATGGAAATCAGCATATATTACTTTGATACCAAAAGAACATGTAGGTCCTAAAAAACTGGAAAATTATAGACCAATATCTCTTTTAAATAATGACTATAAAATTTATGCAAAAGTATTAGCCAACAGATTGATGCCAGTAATTCAAGAGGTGATTCATGATGATCAAGCGGGATTTATCGAGGGCAGATATATGAAGGATAATGTAAGGCAAGTAATAAATTTACTGGAATATCTTGAGAAGAATAAACAGATCCCTGCAGTGCTGGTCTTTTTGGATGCAGAGAAGGCCTTTGATAGAGTGGATTGGAATTTTCTAGTAAAGACTTTGAAAAAGATGGACTTTGGGGACCAATTTATACAGGCGATTTCGGCAATATATCAAGAGCAAAAGGCACAGATTATTATTAATGGAAGTTTGACAACAGAGTTTAAAATTGAAAAAGGAACAAGACAGGGATGTCCGTTGTCCCCACTTTTATTTATTTTAACACTAGAAGTCTTGTTAAATACAATATGGGACTCTAATATCTTGAAAGGTATAAAGATTAGGCAAGAGGATTACAGAATAAAGGCATTTGCAGATGATCTGGTTGTTACCCTATCACAACCAATGGAATCAATAATCTTGATGAAGGACATTATACAAGACTATGGTAAAGTTTCAGGTTTCAGATTGAATCCAAAAAAGACTAAAATGATAGTTAAAAACATGACACAAGATCGCAAACATGAGCTTGAAAGGAGGGCAGGTTTTGAGATTGTACCTAAGGTAAAATATCTAGGAGTTCAGGTTGCAGAATCAAACATGAAATTGTTTCAAAATAATTATGAGGTGTTGTGGCGAGAGGTGCAGAAAGATATGGAGACTTGGAAAAAACTGCAGCTGTCTCTACTTGGAAGAATAGCAGCAGTTAAGATGAATATTTTGCCAAGATTTCTTTTTTTGTTTCAAATGATTCCGGTGCTTAAAAGTGATAAACAATTGAAAGTTTGGCAATTTGGAGTGAATAAGTTTGTCTGGAACGAGAAGAAGCCGAGAGTGAAATTGAAAATTATGCAAGATGTTCCAGAAAGAGGAGGTCTTAAACTTCCAAACCTACAGCTATATTATGATGCAGCAGCTTTAACTTTAACAAGTGATTGGTTTGGAAGTAAAAAGGCTGGAATATTGAATGCAGAAAGTTTTGATCTTGAATTTGGATGGCACGCTTACTTATTTTATGATGACAAAGTTGATAAAATATTTAAAAGTCATATACTTAGAGACTCTTTGATGAGAGTTTGGAAGAAGCACCGACTCAAATGGGATTATAAAATACCGCTATGGTTGGATCTTGGTCATACTTTGTGGAATACAAATATAATGTCACTCGGGGGGGTTTTATACAAAGAGGTTCTTTTTACAGATGCGGGCAGATGGCAGCTGAAGAATTTGCAGACACTGTTGGACGAAGGGATTAATTTAACTTGGTTACAATATAATCAATTACAATTGAGATGGAAAGAGGACCAAAAAATTGGTATTATGTTGCATGAGGAAGAATTGGTTAGACATATAAGAGAGAAAGGTCCAATGCATATTAAAAGGCTTTATAATGTTTTGCTAGAAAGGGATTCAGAAACTGAATTAGTTAAAGACTGTATGATTAAGTGGGCACAAAATTTTGAAGAACCAGTGAAGTTGGAAACATGGGAAAAAATTTGGGTCCAGAATGTTAAATTTACACAGTCGCAGAATTTGAGGGAAAATTTTTACAAAATGTTTTATAGATGGCATCTAGACCCTAAGAAACTGTCGTGTATGTATCCTAATGTTCAGCCAAAATGTTGGAGGTGTGATTGTACAGATGCTACATATTTTCATATTTGGTGGACCTGTAAGAAAGTTAAGGCTTTTTGGATAAAAATTTGGTGGGTTATGCAGAATGTTTTGAAGAAAAAAATTCAATTTTCTCCACAATTGTTTTTATTGGGTATAGCTAAGGGTTTTACAGTGGATGAAACAAAGTTGATTTTGTATATGATTACAGCAGCGAGATTGTTGATAGGTAAATATTGGAAAAATGTAGCTTTGCCCACCGTTCAAGAATGGACTTTGAAGATGGCCAGTTTCGCTGAGATGGCGAAGATTTCAGCATATTTAAAAGACCGCTCACAAGAGACTTATGAATGTGAATGGAAAAAATGGATAGATTATGTGCAGAACAAATATCAAACTAGGAAGTATCAAATAGCTTTTTATTGATAGTATTATATTACATTAAGATAGAAATATTTGAACTATGTGAAGATGAAAAATGATATGGGGGTTGGGGGGGTTTAAAGTTTAAGGTTTTTTTTTTTTATATAAAGGGGATAATGATGGGGTACACTCTATGGAAGTCCGGGGGGGAGGGGAGGGTTAGGGGGGGTTAGGGAGGATGGGTTGGGGAGCTTGGGGTGGGTTAGGGGGGTGAAAACGGGGTGAAAATGTAATTGTAAAACTTTTACAATAAAAAAAAAAAAAGCATATATAAGATAACAGGTAAAAGTATAAACATAATTTGAATACATGAAAAGAGTAAGTAAAAAGGAATATTAGGACAGGGACGGTAGGCACGCTGGTGCATTTATGCACGCCCCTTACAGACCTCTGAGGAATGGGGTGAGGTCAACAGTAGACAGTTTAAGGTTAAAGTTTTGGGGGTTTGGGGAAGAAACTACAGAGTCAGGTAGTGCATTCCAGGCATTGACCACTCTGTTGCTAAAGTCATATTTTCTGCAATTTGGAACGGTTTACCTTGAGTTTGTATCTATTATTTGCTCGTGTATTGTTGTGGTTGAAGTTGAAGTAGTCATAGACAGGAAGTACATTGTGGCAGACAATTTTATGTACTATGCTTAGGTCAGACTGAAGTCAGCGTAGTTCTAAGTTGTCTAAGCCCAAAATTTGAAGTCTGGTGGCATAAGGTATTTTATTGCGGTTAGAGGAATGGAGGACTCGTCTTCTAAAATATCTCTGGACTCTCTTGATTGAATTTATGTCCGATATTCAGTGCGGGTTCCAGACAGATGAGCTGTATTCAAGAATCGGTCTAGCAAATGTTTTATATGCTCTAGTTAATAGTACATTATTACCAGAGAAGAAGCTACGCAAGGTTAGGTTAATAACTCTTAATGCCTTTTGGCAATGTTGTTACAGTGGACTCAGGCACTTAGATCATTAGAAATGAGTACTCCAAGGTCCTTGACAGACTCTTTTTAAAAAACTATTATTATTTTAATGCTTTTATTTGCAGGTCTGTGACCGTAATAATGATTGATGGATCTCTGCTTCTTTGTCCTTCTCTATTCCTGCCTAATAGGTGGAGGCGGAAGCTGTGAACCGGGCTATAACCATTGCCAACCAAACCAATTGCCCCTTATACATCACCAAAGTGATGAGCAAAAGTGCCGCAGAAGTGATCGCCTTGGCCAGGAAGAAGGGTGAGCTCTTATTAATAGGATATAGAATCCAGATCATGTGAAGTGTCAGTACAGGTAGTCCCCGACTTACGACCGCAATTGAGGCCAAAATTTCTGTTGCTAAGTGAAACATTGGTTAAGTGAAATGTTAAACATTTGTTAAATGTTAAGGAACAAGCTTAACATTTGCTAAGTTAGGTGACTTTACCACTTTTCTTGCCACAGATGTTAAGTGAATAACTGTAGTTCTTTTAGTTAGTTAAGTGAATTTGGCTTCCCCATCGACTTTTGTTTATCAGGAAGTCGATATGAGTCAATTGCCAAGCATCTGAATTTTGATCACATGACCATAAGGATGCTACAACAGTCATAAGTGTGAAAACTGGTCATAAGTCACTTTCTTCAGTGCCGTTATAACTTTGAATGGTCACTAAATGAACTGTTGTAAGTCGAGGATTACCTATACCACTTTATAATGCCTTGCCAAGGCCGCACTTGAAATACCGCATCCAGTTTTGGTTGCCACCATGTAAAAAAAGATGTGGAGACTCTAGAAAGAGTGCAGAGAAGAGCAACAAAGAGGATTAGGGGACTGGAGGCTAAAACATATGAAGAACGGTTGCAGGATCTCTTCTTCTTTGGCTAGTTTAATGCAAAGACGGACTGGGAGTGAAATATGATAGCAGTATTCCGATATTTAAGGGGCTGCCACAAAGAAGAGGAAGTCAAGCTATTCTCCAAAGCACCTGAGGGCAGGACAGGAAGCAATGGATGGAAACTAATAATGGAGAGAAGCAACCTAGAAACTAAGGAGAAATTTCCTGACAGGGAGAACAATAAAGCAGTGGAATAAGTTGCCTTCAGAAACCGTGAATGCTCCAACACTGGAAGTTGTGGGCTTCTTCTCACTGGAAGAAGAGACTGGACAGTCACCTGCTTGGAATGATGCAGGGGGTTGGACTAGAAGACCTCCAAGGTCCCCTCCAACTCTGTTATTCTGTTCTGTTATTCTGTTAAGCCTGATGAGGAAAAAAAAAACCCGACTAATTTTTCCACTCTTGTTTTATTGCAAGCGTCATAAATCTCCCAGATGAGGGGATACCTAGCTGAATTTTTTAAACTTCCAGAGCAGTTGAATTTTTCGCAGGGAACTAGTTGCACATTCCAAGTAGCTTGTTAGGCTGCTGGCTGTTTAAAATCCATTTCCTCTCTGTAACTCCACCAGCTGGCTCAGTAGCTTTGCTAATGGTAGTTTGCAAATAGGAAAGTGACCTCATCTTTTTAGTCCCTGCTTGCTAACACTACCATTCTTTTATATTCCCTTCATGGTCTCCACCCCGCCCTGCTAAGCAGGATTCCCTCCAACAGCTTCTTCCGTCTTTTATTTACACAAAGCATAAACCTGCTTTTCCATATGTCAGTGCAGCAAGCCAGACAAACAGGATTTCGAGTTCTGTGTACTGATTCCTCCCTGCAAATCCGGAACTGGATTAAAGAGGGTGCTTCCAGATTGGTAGAGGGTTGAAACCCAAAGATATAGAGGCTATTTGAGAGTCCCAAACATTGAGTGGTTAGTAGGTACTCTCTATCAGCTGGACAACTTTTTTTTTTTTTTGCTTTAATTTATATGCCGCCCTTCTCTGGAGACTCAGGGCGGCTTACAATGCGTTAAGCAATAGCCTTCATACTTTTGTATATTTTATACAAAGTCAGCTTATTGCCCCCACAATCTGGGTCCTCATTTTACCTACCTTTGAAAGGATGGAAGGCTGAGTTAACCTTGAGCCTGGTGAGATTTGAACTTGCAGTAATTGCAAGCAGCGGATGTTAATAACAGTGCTTTAGTCCACTGTACTACAGGCTCTTTGTCCAACTGAATTGGACAGAGCTCCATAATCCGAGCCAAAGCACTAGATCAGGGATTGCCAAATTTGAGAACTTCTTAAGACTCGTGGCCTTCAACCCGCTGGGGAATTCTGGGAGTTGAAGTCCACCAGTCTTAAAGTTTCCAACTTTGGAGAGTCCTGCAGAAGGTTAAGTTCTCATGGTTGTTCTTTGTTTTTCTCAAATCTGCTTTTGGAATGCTGAAAAATTACCCGTATTCCTGACTTGTCATAACTGTAAGGTGTCATAACTCCTGCGGCATTCTTCATTCTGATACAGGCAACCTCATCTTCCTTTTGAAGATGGTCTTCAGCACTTTGAGATGGAGCTTCTGAAATAGGACAATCAAGTACCCTCTCTTAGTACCGCAGTTTTGATTGTTGCCTGTTTGTTGCTCCTAATACAAGCGTGAAACAGAGCAGGAGTGCCCTGGGATGGGTCCCATTACCGTCCTTAACCTACACTCCCTGTCTCCAAAACAACAACAATAGAGCAGCATTTCATAGTGCTGCAGTATTAAAATTGTGCCTTGATATGGTGGCAAACAAACATTATTGTCCTCAACGTTTGGTGGATTAGGAATTGGCTTTTCTGAACAGCCTCATCCCTGGAAACCTATTGGTAATGCAGTCTTTATCATGTTCATGCTTTACGCTTTGAAAATAAATGTTTAAAAATAAGCCTAAGGTGTGAAACAGCTTAGAACATATATTTACTCATCACCAGGTTCTTTTATTAGTCCCAGGCAAAAATATTTTCCCACAATTCCACCGTTCTTGGATTTGCCAGCTAAATAGCATCGAGAACACTTGTGCTCTCTTTGTCCTGTCTCGTTTAAGCTTTATTATAAAAATAATTTATTATAAAAATAATAAAGCTTTGTTAGATGTAGTTGTCTTAAGATGACGGGTTCCCCCCCCTCCCTTTCCCTCCCTTTATGCAAGAAAGTATTTGAAGACGACATGATGCTGTCTAAATAAACCCAGATTAATCAGATAAGCGTTTTTGTCTCGGGAGGTTTTACAGCGCTTGTAAACACTTATCTGTGCTCCTCAGCTTAATGTGTGTTTCTGCAGAGGGTGGTCACTGAATTATGGCACGCTGAAGCCTTCCTTCCTTTTATTTATCATCAGCTGCTCTGTTGCATGAATTTAAAAAGAAACTGGCAAGCGGGTTAAGTTAAATGAAGGGAAGAGGGTTAAGAATCAAACGATAAATAGAGTTACACGTATGATGCCTTGCAAAACAGATTTCCCATTGAATCCAAACGGCCACAGTTGATACTCAAACTGTGTTGGGAATACCTGCCTGGAATGGTTCTGAATTGGTCGGCATATGAGATTAAATAACAATATCAATATTAACAGGCGCCTTGGGTGCCAACCCCAAAACAACTGGAACTTCGCTTGAACACTATCGGCATTGACAAATTCATCATCGGTCAATTGCAAAAGGCAGCTTTACTCATAACAGCTTACATCCTGCGACGATGCCTCTTAACACCTTCAGACATCCACATCTGCCTATCCCAGGTCCTTGAGAAGCACTCACTAGGGAGATAAAAATCCCAAATCCAATCTAAACACCTGGCTGACTTTTGTGACCAACCATAATAATATTTACCTTTGGGAAAACTAGCTTTCAATGACTTTTGTCATCAAAAGCATCTGCCATTTATTTTCATGGAGCTTTGCAGCCAAGATTGCTTTGCCGGGGTCTGATAAATCGGGAGTTTCATGATACTAAATTCTGCAGATTTTCCTGCATGTACATCTATCTCTAGCTCTGCATGGTGAATTTTTGGGATGGTGTCTTCTCTGTGCGTTCTTCCATAGTGATAACATTCATTTATCTTGCCTAATGATAACTGGTTAGTCCTGAATATTGTATACTGGGTTAAGGGATTTGGAGATTCTGCTCCATGAAGCCATTCTTACGGTGCTGCAGAAATGCAATTATAATTTCATTTACTCTTCCTGTTAGTACCTAGTCCCAGGGTATGTTGGATTCTCACAAACTGTGAAGTGGATTGAGCTGGAAATGATAACTTTTTCAAGACCATTTAGTTGGCTTTTTGGCTAAATGGTCATTTGAGCTCCAATCTTTTTGAAACTCTTTTCTTGAATGGATGGAAATTGCTTACTATGATTCCTGTTAGGGAATGTTTGGTTGAGCCTTCAGATTTTGTTTCTTTCAAATCTCGTTCAAAGAAAATGGAAAAGAAAATCAAGAAGGAGAGTGGTGAAGTGTTCAAAACCTGTCTTTCTTATTTTTCATAAAGTACAACAGACGTTCAGGTGCATTAGAAGGACAGACTATATCACTCCTCAGTGCCTCCCACAGAACTTTTTTTTTTTTTTTAAAGACTGGATTTTTTTTAAAAAAAGCAACCAGATCGCCAACATCTCACGAGGTTCAGCCATCCAATTTTCCTAACCAGTCAATCATTTATTTCCAGTTTCTATACTATTGCAGAACACGTAGTGCAGAGGGTGCCAAACTCGATTTCATTGAGGACCACATCAGGGTTGTGTCTGACCTCAGGGGGCTGGGGTGGGCGTGGCTAGGGTGGGCGTGGCCAGCTTGACGTCACTCCTGTCAGGGACACCTGTGGTGGCCTGAACACTCTGCCAGCGAAAACAGGCTCCTGAGCTCCGTTTTCGGTAGCAGAAGCACCGCAGGCCGGTCCTTCACTGCTTCCTGGGCAGCCTCATGGACCAGATCTTAAGTACCCCACGGGCCTTGAGTTTGATACCCCTCACATAGTGGCTTCAGTGCCTCTTTTTTTCCAATAGGAGTCCGTCAGCCTTCCGACTGAGAATGAATTACGCATTTTCCCACGGATCTTTTGTTCGTGTCTTCATTGACACTAGAACAATGCCCCAAAGTTCCTATTTTTTCCCTTTCTTTCTTTCTTTTTCTTTCATGTTCTTAACTAGCAGTGTCTTGGCCAGAGTCCCACCAAGGGCTGCATGAGACAATACTGTTCTTGAATCTATAGCTGCGTTGAATAAGGCACCTTCCAACGCTTATTTGTTTGCCTGCGTGTTGATTAACCAAATATTATTTATGCATTGCTGCCATCGTATTGATTCCTGGTGGATAACAAATCTCACATCCATTTAAATAATGGCCACACCCCAGGGGTGAAATCCAGCAGGTTCTGACAGGTTCTGGAGAACCCTGTAGTGGAAATTTTGAGTAGTTCAGAGAACTGGCAAATACCACCTCTGGCTGGCCCCAGAGTGGGGTGGAAATGGAGATTTTGTAGTATCCTTCCCCTGCCATGCCCACCAAGCCCCACCATGCCCACCAAGCCACGCCCACCGAACCAGTAGTAAAAAAATTGGGATTTCACCACTGCCCCACCCTATAACCTGGCTTTGCTCTCCAGTTCTTTTTTCATAGTAAGCCAAGAGTGAAAGTGGATTGCTTACGGACCTGGCAATAATTGTCCTGTTCATCCTGTCTTGATTAACAGGCACTGTGGTGTATGGTGAGCCCATTGCAGCAAGCTTGGGTACCGACGGATCTCATTACTGGAGTAAAAACTGGGCCAAAGCAGCTGCTTTTGTCACCGCTCCACCACTGAGTCCTGACCCGACTACTCCGGACTTCCTCAATTCTCTGCTGTCCTGGTGAGTTGAATTGGAGGTGGTGACGATCCTTACATGAGTTGACTCTGATCTCAAAACACGGAAAATGCGTGCCATAGCAGGAGATAGAAATTCTGTGTTCCATGCAGACGGCTTGGATTTGGCACCAAGTTGACTGAGGCTGTTGGGTTAAAAGGCTGTCTTCACAAGCCTTCCTCTTCGATTTATTCATCTCCCTTGCATTCGTTTGGGATATTTGAGACGTAGACTGAAAATGTGCCCCAGTCTTACTATGCTAATATATCCTCTTGGCACCTGGGAAGCTTTTCAAAATATATGGCTCAGAATTCCAGTCCTTCCTCCCAAGCTAAGATTTAAAAGCACAGCTGGTAATAAAGAGGTGATTTATAAGGTAAAGGTTCCCCTCGCACATATGTGCTAGTTGTTCCTGACTCTAGGGGGCAGTGCTCATCTCCGTTTCAAAGCTGAAGAGCCAGTGCTGTCTGAAGACGTCTCCACGGTCATGTGGCCGGCATGACTAAACGCCAAAGGCGCATGGAACGCTGTTACCTTCCCACCAAAGGTGGTCCCTATTTTTCTACTTGCATTTTTTGCGTGCTTTCGAACTGCTAGGTTGGCAGAAGCTGGGACAAGTAACAGGAGCTCACCCCCTTATGCGGCACTAGGGATTCGAACCGCTGAACTGCCGACCTTTCAATCGGCAAGCTCAGCATCTTAGCCACTGAGCCACTGCCCCACCATGATTTATACACCGTGATTTATAGAGATGAATAATTTGTAGTCCTGCTGCAAATTTTGTTTCATGCAGTGGGCGTTGATTAAGTGCAGGGTTTTTTTGCTTTTGCTTTCATTCTGTCATTCTGTCGTTGATGAATAGAGCTACTCTTGTCTTCTGCTTCCAGTGGAGATCTCCAGGTTACTGGCAGTGGCCACTGTACTTTCAATACTGCGCAGAAAGCTGTTGGGAAGGACAATTTCACTTTGATCCCGCAAGGAACCAATGGAACTGAGGAACGGATGTCCATCATCTGGGATAAAGCTGTGGTGGGTTGTTTTGGTTTGTGTTGGGATTACGTCTACGTAATCTATGTCACTCAGTCACAGGACCCCCACCCCCACCAAGCCACGCCCACAGAACCGGTAGGGAAAAATTTTAGATTTCACCCCTGATGTCAACCATCTGTAACCAAGTTCCCTGCAGTCACAGATTGGCAGAAGCTTTCCAATGCCAACTTAGTTGAACATTGATACAGATGACATGAATCCATTGGCATTTAGGGAATAAACTTGGACGTTCAGATCCAGATCAGGCTCAACACTTTTAAGGATTCTCCCTTGCTTGAATAGGACACTTATCATTCGAGATCACATTGTGATTAGCATTCATCTACCTCTGTAGCTGTAGTGATATGTGGGAATGGGAGACAGGAGGAAGAACTGCAGCCTAGACAGTCGTCATGCAAAAGGGATCTCGGCTCATGGAAAAAAAAGGGGCGTGACAAGCGTTTCAGAAGGGATTCTTCCAGGGGTGAAATGCTACCAGTTCAGACCGGTTCTCCCGAACCAGTAGTAATAAATGCTACCAGTTCAGGAAAACTGGTAGTACAAAAAAATGCTACCAGTTCGGGCGAACTCGTATTTCCAATGATTATCTGTGCCACGCGATTTATATTTGCTAGAAAGCAGGAAATCCTGCTTTCTAGCAAATCTAAATCGCACGGCACAGCTGTTCCCCCCCCCCTCGCTGTTCTACTTACATTTGAAGACTCAGAAAAGGCTTCTTAATCCTTTTTCAGGTGCACCGCGCATGCATGCACAAAGCAAACTGGTAGTGAAGCGAACCAGTAGCAGACTTCACAGCATTTCACCCCTGGATTCTTCCTAGTTTTCTGGAAAGCAGAATTAAGTCCAGTCTTTCCCAGCTTAGTAGACTTCGTTTGCTTAGAACAAATTTGTAGCTGGGCAATAGAGTTCAAATGCAAATAGAGCCAAAGAGTCAGGCGTAGCTCAACAAAATAATTCCTTTTGCAGGCAACTTGAAATCCCTCCCTCTCTCTCAAAACAGTTTGGGCATGGATGACCACAAGCTGTTTCTTTGATGACCCCATTAGTTTTTTCCCCCCTGCTACTGCTGTCGTTTTTCCACTGTGACTGTTCTTTTCTTTGATTTAGGTTACTGGCAAAATGGACGAGAACCAGTTTGTTGCTGTCACTAGCACCACAGCAGCCAAGATCTTCAACCTGTATCCACGGAAGGGGCGCATTGCAGTGGGATCTGATGCTGACCTGGTGATCTGGGATCCTGACAGTGTCAAGACGATCTCAGCCAAGACACATAACATAGTAAGTTTGCAGATTAAAATCTAGGGCACTATACTGGTGAAAATGCCGGACTGCATTGGGAAAACCTAGGGGCTGGCACGCCATTAATCACAAAACAGCCTTGATGCTATAGGACCGGGATGGCGAACCTAAGGCACGCGGAGCCATCTCTGCAGGCACGCGAGCTGTAGCCAAGCTCGGCTCCACCGCGCATCTGCGTGCACCTCCCGCCGGCCAGCTGATTTTTGGGTCTCTGATGCGGGGGCGGGGCGCATGTGGGAGATGTATGCTCATGCACGGGGGTGGGACGGTCATGCGCGTATGCATGGGGGAGGGGCGCGCTCCTGTGCCAAAACGGGCCACGGGGGGGGTGCAGCGGATGCGAGGGGGAGCGCGGGGGTTGCACATGCATACGTGGAGGGTGGGGGGAGCGCGGGAGGGTCATGTGCACATGCGCGGGGGCGGGGGAGTGTGGAAGGGTTACACGTGACACACACACACACCCCGCGTTCCCCCCACTTTTGGCACACAGCGGCAAAAAAGTTAGCCATCACTGCTATATGGCATGGAAGCACAACTTGGAATGGACTTCTGCATCACTGTATGTCATGGAACATATGCGTCTGTCGTCTGGAGATGGTTGCATAATTGTTGCATTTATATTTCTGCAAATGTTAACATTCTGGGTAGGGGCACTCAAAACAACAAAGCATCAACAGGATGTCAGCGTTCCAAGAAAATCCCAACTCCAAGTAAAAACGCAGAAGCAAGCATTTTCCAAAGTTCTCTTTACTAGAATAGGCAAACTGGCACATCTGGGAAATCCCGAATCTGAAAACCCGGATTTTCCTTCAGTAAGTCAACACTCCCAAAACCACCCCCTTTCTCCTCAATCGATCACTTGCTCCAATCAATGTCCGTTCCATCTCGATTCAGCCCCCCGACCACTCCTTCTCCAGATGCTGGATCGCCCTGACCTTGACCGACAGGAAGAATGCTATTATGTCTACTAACCCCCTCTCCTAAATCCCCCCTCCTACTTTCCCACACATGAGGAGGTGGCAGCATTGAAGCTTCCGGCCTAATATGGCTTCCAAAGCTGACACAGGAAGTCAGATCCACCAATCAGCATGCAGGATGCCTAGCTCTGCATAACATGTGGTTGAGATTTGGGAGTTGTTTCGTTCGGCCTGTCTGCAACCATTTGTAACCTGCGTTTACCCATCAACGCCTTTGCAGCATAGGTATGCATTGACACCTATGCCCAGTTGCAGACAAGTCTAAACCAAGCGTTACTTCTTGTAAAGAAGTAAAGCCCAACTTCCCTTGATGATGGATGTGGGGAAAGTGCTTTGAAATATACACTATCTCCTCCTACACTGCCGATCCAATCAAGATCACAACTCAAACTTTGCCTTATCTTGACAGATAATGAAAACCTTGCCAGCCCAAGCTTGGCAAACATCTTTGGTAACATCTGTTAACCAATGGGGGGTAAAAGGCTAAAGAAAAAAAAAAGAAACATTGACAGATTATCTGTTTGAAGTTGTTTTGGGGTATTAAAAAGAAGAAGAAGAAAACTCATCAATTTGTGGAGGATTGAAAATGTGGATTTTTTCTCTCTCCTTACATTTGGCAATCCCTATTATGTGAACGCAGAAAGAACTCTTGGATATCTGGAAGAATCCACTAGTGAAATTCAATAGGCTAAGAACTCTATCAGTGCATTTGAATTTACATACCCTTTTGTGCATTCATCTTTAATAAATCCAAAACTGTCTTTGTAAACATAATTGCATTATATTTATTGATTTAGCAGAATACTAATCAGATTGACATTCGGTTCAGCGATTCCATTGTCTATTTCAACCCTTGGTAGAAATGGAGCCAAGCGTTCTCTAAAGAACTGCAATAGAAGCAGAGACACAGTCCGAAAAGAAATGTTGTAATTGACCTTTAAAGACAATTTTATAGGAGAATTTTCTGCTTCTTTGGCCTTGAGAAAAAAAAAGAGAGACAAGGGCAAATGAACAAGTTCTTTATTGTCCTATTTACATCTCCTCGAGCTACTGGCGAAAAGCCCAGGGAATTTTTAGAAATCAAGTTTTCTGTGTTTTCTGCTTATGAATCTTCTTTTTTTTCCCACTACTACAAAGACACAGTTATTTCCGCTAGACAAGGATTTGGGGTGAAGGCAATGTTGACCATCTCTCTAAAATCTCTCCTTTCACAAGGAGAATTCCATCATGCAGTTGGATATCTTTGGGTGATCAATGTTTGGTTGCAAAACCTGAAAGAATGCAAAGTTGAAATATATCTGAATATAAGTATATTGAATGCATATTAAGAATGCAGAGTATATTGAAACCAAAAGGTGCATTCGGTGGTAAGACTAAACAGCAGGTGCTGCATTTCAAGCTGGCTTCGAAAAATACCTTAACAATCTTAGGAGGATACTTTTTTTTTAATTCACCCAAGGTAATAAACTGGTAAGCTTAATTGGGGGGAAAAGGTTTTACTTGCCATGGCCAATTTTTCTTTGAAGTTTGCTTTCCCAAAAAAATTCAAAAAATGTTATACAGATACAAAAATCGGCCTTATCCAAACTTCTTTAAAAGAAATCTGGTCAATCAGTTTTTTGGAACCTGCTTGCTAACCTGAGATGTAAAAGTTCCCCTTGCACATATGTGCTAGTCGTTCCTGACTCTAGGGGGCAGTATTCATCTGTTTCAAAGCCAAAGAGCCAGCGCTGAACTGTCTGAAGACGTCTCCGTGGTCATGTGGCCGGCACGACTCAACACCAAAGGCGCACGGAACGCTGTTACCTTCCCACCAAAGGGGGTCCCTATTTTTCTACTTGCATTTTTTACGTGCTTTCGAACTGCTAGGTTGACAGAAGCTGGGACAAGGAACGGGAGCTCACCCTGTTATGCGGCACCAGGGATTTGAACTTCCGACCTTTCAATCGACAAGCTCAGCATCTTAGCCACTGAGCCACCATGTCCCTGACCTGAGACTTGGGGGTTGGCAAATGTAACCTACCCTGGAGAAATTGGAGAAGATTGCAAAGGAAGATGTCAAAGAGCTAGTTGGGGTTCACTGTGATGTGTTAATGACTGCTTTTGCAGTGTGGAGGAGGGAAGCTTCAACATGGAAAAGGCCTGAGGGAAGATAAAACGATAAATGAACTGTTGTAAGTCGAGGACTACCTATATCACTTTATAATGCCTTGCCAAGGCCGCACTTGAAATACCGCATCCAGTTTGGGTTGCCATGATGTAAAAAGGATGTTGACACTCTAGAAAGACTGCAGAGAAGAGCAACAAAGAGGATTAGGGGACAGGAAGCTAAAACATATGAAGAACGGTTGCAGGAACTGGGTATGTCTAGTTTAAGGCAAAGAAGGACTGGGAGTGAAATATGATAGCAGTATTCCGATATTTAAGGGGCTGCCATAAAGAAGAGGGAGTCAAGCTATTCTCCAAAGCACCTGAGGGCAGGACAGGAAGCAATGGATGGAAATTAATAATGGAGAGAAGCAACCTAGAAACTAAGGAGAAATTTCCTGACAGGGAGAACAATAAAGCAGTGGAACAAGTTGCCTTCAGAAATTGTGAATGCTCCAACACTGGAAGTTGTGGGCTTCTTCTCACTGGAAGAAGAGACTGGACAGTCACCTACCTGGAATGGTGCAGGGGGTTGGACTAGAAGACCTCCAAGGTCCCCTCCAACTCTTGTTATTCTGTTCTGTTCTGTTATCTTGGGTGTCTCCCTTGCAAAATGAACTTTAAGCCCTGAACACCAGTGTCTCGTCGTTTAATAAAAAAATGTTACAGGTCTTGACTTATGATCACAGTTGTAAATCAAGTGTTACCTGAAGTATACCTGGATTTCTGTGGCTAAACAAGGCAACTCACTGCAGTCGTTACATGAATCAGGTAATTGTTAAGCAAATCCCACCTTTCCTCATTGACTTTGCTTGATGGAAGCCAGGTCACATTAGCAATAGCACTTAGACTTATATACCACTTCATAGTGCTTTGTAGCACTCTCTTGAGCCGTTTACAATGTCAGCATATTGTCCCCATTAATCTGGGTCCTCATTTTACCGACCTTGGAAGGATGGAAAGCTGAGTCAGCCTTGAGCCATTCAGGATCGAACTCTTGGCTGTGGAAAGAGTTAGCCTGCAATACTGCATTCTAACCACTGCACCACCACGGCTCCTAAATGATCACAAATGGTGATCACATGACTTTGGGCGTCTGTAACCATTGTAAATAAATATATGCCAGTTGCCAAGTTCCTGAATTTAGTCTACATGACCTTGAGGATCCTTCAACAGTTGTAAATGCAAGTGGAAGTCTCCGTTTTCAGTACTGTTGTAAGTTCAGATGGTCACTATACAAAGGGTTGCAAGCCGAGGACTACTTGTGTCTCATTTGAGTTCTGTTTCTGCCCTTCTGATAAGTTCTGGTAGGCTTAGCTCCCTCCAGGTCCTGTTTCTGTAGTGGGATCATCTTTCATGATAAGGAAATGACAATTTTCCTGTTGCTGCACCTGCCCTATGGAACTTCATCTCCCTTGATGTCTGTCCAGCATGTGCAACATGTTTCATGAGCAAACTAGGTAACATCATCAGTGCTGATAATATTACTTTGTTTGGTCATAAAACGACTGCAAGAAAACGCTCAAGCTCAGAGACCACCTAGGACCCCACAAATCTAGGAAGTTTCATGTAATTCCAGAGATGAAATTTGAAGGATGGATTACTTTGGGTAGCAGCATCTCAATTTTCTTTTTTCTTTTTTTTTATTTAAAAAGTTTTACAAATACATTTTCTCCCCAATTCTCCCCCAAACCCTCCCTAACCCACCCCTCCCCCCATGACTTCCTCTAAATAAAATCAAAATCAAAATTACATTTTTGGAAACTTAAACCCCTCCATCCCCTGTGTACTATTTATATCTTCATAGAGCTCAGTTAATCTATCCCTACATAATACATTCAGCTAAAAGCTATCTGATATTTCCTAGTTTGATATTTATTCTGCGCATAATCTATCCACTTTTTCCACTCCCATACATAAGTCTCTTGAGTTCGATCTTTTAAATATGCTGAAATCTTCGCCATCTCTGCAAAACTGGCCATCTTCAAAGTCCATTCTTCAATAGTGGGCATAGCGTCATTTTTCCAATATTGGCCTATCAATAATCTCGCTGCTGTCACCATATACAATATCAGCTTTGTTTCACCCAATGTAAAACCCTTAATTATACCCAATAAAAACAGTTGTGGAGAAAACTGAAGTTTTTTCTTCAAAACATTTTGCATAACCCACCAAATTTTTATCCAAAAAGCCTTCGCTTTCTTGCAGGTCCACCATATATGATAATATGTGGCATCTAAGCAATCACATCTCCAACATTTTGGTTGAACATTAGGATACATGCATGTATCCTAATGTTGCATGCAGCATCTCAGTTTTCCTTGAGGCCAGATTCTCATCAACTGTGGACCTGTCTTCATTTGTCTTCCAGAATGTGGAGTATAATATCTTTGAAGGCATGGAGTGTCGTGGGTCTCCTTTAGTGGTTATCAGCCAAGGAAAAATTGTTCTGGAGGATGGTAATCTCCATGTAACCGAAGGGTCTGGCCGATACATTCCTAGGAAACCTTTCCCTGACTTCGTTTACAAACGTATCAAAGCAAGAAGCAGGGTAAGTAGCTTGAATCAGCATCACCTTTACGATCTGGTCTTGCAAATTATTAAATAAATGGGTCTGTTAAAAGGAGAATCTTAACAGTTGGGCACATCTTGAAGATTAGCATTTGTTGGAAACTACCGCATCCTTTGATCAGATGGTTGGAAATGTATGGAAATATAGCCAAGAATTATGAGTTTGGACTGATTTCAAACTTCCAATCGTCAGGCTGGCTGAGTTTCTTGAGAAAATATTGGTTAATGTCTCAAAATATGTAGCCTGCTTCTCCGAACCACTGTAGTCAGATTTAATGAGGTAGACTAGAGTGATGCCATTCTTGATAGGAAAAAAAAAGATTTTTCTGTCTTGCAATTCAGGTCTGCACTTTTTTTTTTTTTGCTTTAATTTATATGCCGCCCTTCTCCGGAGACTCAGGGCGGCTTACAATGCGTTAAGCAATAGCCTTCATACTTTTGTATATATTTATACAAAGTCAGCTTATTGCCCCCACAAACCGGGTCCTCATTTCACCTACCTTTTGAAAGGATGGAAGGCTGAGTCAACCAGAAGTATTCTTTCAATGCTTCTAATTTGGAATCTGTGAGCAAATGTGCTTCATACAAAATCCCACAATGGCCCCGGTTCATACATTGTCAGAATACTTGAAATTTCCTTAAATTTCATTGGATGGTGCAAGTTCTGTCTCCTTGGGGCAAATGTCCCCACAGGCCAACATTTTGCATGAGGTCTGGTAAGCTTCTGATGTTTTTCCACCAGCTGTTGGTGGTCTCACAAGCACATGGGTTTAGGAGAGCAGAAAACTTTGAGGTAGCTGGCCATCGTCTGCTGAAGGTGTTGGGTTAACTATATTAAGGAGATCATAAGCAGAAATACTTAAAAAACCAGGGGTGGGTGGAGTCCCAACCTTGGCAACATTTAAGACTTGTGGATTTCAGCTCTCAGAATTTCCCAGCCAGTGTCCCAACTTAGCAACTTTAAGACCTGTGGACTTCAACCGAGAAGGTAGGAAGATGTCTAGGATCCAAGCAACTGGGTTATTTATTCCTATATTGCCGGATATTTCTCATTCTTTTCTTTCTTTCCTTCCTCTCTGCCTCGACATCACTTTTACCCCCAAGCTGGCTGAATTGAGGGGTGTCCCACGAGGTCTGTATGACGGCCCTGTTTGCGAAGTATCGGTGACACCAAAAACGGTCACGCCAGCTTCCTCAGCCAAGACTTCCCCAGCGAAACAGCAGGCTCCACCTGTGAGGAACTTGCACCAGTCTGGATTTAGCTTGTCGGGTACATACTTTTACGAGGCTAAACTATTGTCTTTGCTTTATTTGACTAGCATTCTGGGAGGGAAGAGGAAGGGGGAGGATATAAGGGATCTCTGCTTACTAGCTTAGAAGTTTCTGCTTACCAGCTCTGGTTCAGTGTTGTAGGAGTAAATACAGATAGTAGGGCTAAGTGAAGCTGGTTTATCATCCCCTGGGACATGTTTTGGGTTGCCGGAATGGAGATCTCAGTGAGATACCTCAGCATCTCCAAACTGCAGTTTCCAGAATTACTGACTGAAATGATCGTAGTTCAGAATAATGGAACAACATTAAGCTATACAGGTAGTCCTCAACTTACAACGACTTACAGTTGAGCCCAAATGTTCCATTGCTAAGTAAGACAGTTGTTAAGTGAGTTTTGCCCCATTTTACGGACTTATGACCACAATTGAGCCCAAAGTTTCTGTTGCTGAGCCAGACATTTAAGTGAGCTTGGTCCCATTTTACAACCTTTCTTGGCTCCGTTGTTAAGTTGAATCACTGCAGTTGTGAGGTTAGTAAAATGGTTGTTAAGTGAACCTGGCTACCCCATTGACTTTGCTTGTCAGAAGGCCACAAAAGGGGATCACGTGAACCCTCCCCCCCCAACCGTCATAAATGTGAATCAGTTGTTCAGCATCCAAATGTAAATCATATGACCATGGGGATGCAGCAACGGTCATAAGTGTGAAAAATGGTCCTAAGTCACTTTTTTCAGTGCCGTGGTAATTTCGAACGGTCCCTAAGTGTGAACTGTTGTAAGTCAAGGTCTACCAGTTACTGATCAGTCAAATTCACCAGATTGCAGTTCAGCCAGTCAACGCTTTAGACCAGGGGCGTCAAACTCGGTTTCATTGAGGGCCGCATCAGGGTTGTGTTTGACCTTGGGGGGCTGGAATGGTCGTGGCCAGCTCGATGTCCCTCGTGTCGGGGGTGCCTGTGGTGGCCCAAGTGCTTTGCCAGTGAAAACGGGCTCCCGAGCTCCATTTTTGGCTGGGATGGCTTCCTGTAACCTGTTCTGTCCCCGTCTCACACACGCACCCCCACAGACAGTCAATAGTGAAATAAACCAGCCGACAAAGGTTTCTCTAAGAGCAGAATTGGCAGCAACCCAGTGGCTGGCTGCCAAGAGTCTTTTACTTACGAAGGGAGTGTTTTTCAAAGCCAACACACAACTGATGAGAGAATATTCAAAAAGTCCAGCAATGAAGAGAGGTTTGTTCAATATCAGTTTTTGCTCGTCACAGAGCTTGAATGGCCACCACACCCCCTTTTATACCCTGTGGGGTGTGGTCCAATGACTCAGCCTAATCCCTGGTATGCCTCTTCCTCTGCTGCACGCTCTTATCTCTGCGACGCTGTCGAGGGTCCAGCCAAGACTCATCATCATCATCATTACTGTCCACCTGCGGCTGCGTGGAAGTGCTTGGCCCCGGGCCTATCTCTTGGCCTTCGGAGGACACCGGAGGCATTGCCAGAGAGGAGGGCCTTGGAGAGGGAGGCCTTGCCAACTTCTCTCCTTCACTCTCGGAGTCCTCTCCTGCTGATAACACAGACTCGGTGATTGGAGCCACAACACAACCCTCCCGAGCACGGCCCTCCTGAGCTCCATTTTCACTGACAGAGACACTACAGGATGGTCCTTCACTGTTTCCAGGGCGGCCCTGCGGGCTGGATCTGACCCCGGAGCCTTGAGTTTGACACCCCTGCTTTAGACTTACTTTGAAATCACAATATAATTGCTCATGTTATATATATGTGTACGTCTTCAGTTTCTCACTATGCTTCTCTCTCCCTCCCTCTTTCCAACTCGTAGGTGCGCAAATCGACGACAATATCCCACGGCGTACTACGCAGCGCATAGTTGCACCCCCTGGTGGCCGTGCCAACATCACCAGCTTGGGTTAAAAAAACGACACCGGGGGAGCAAAAGTCCACTTAGAGATGGTGGGAGAGGGGGGGGCACTTGAAAAGACCTTTTTAAAAATTCTTTTAGAGCCTGTGATGGTTACTGCGGATAGCAGTGGATGAGGCCGTAGCCTCTCTCTCCCTCTCTCTCTCTCTCTCTCCTCCCTCCTTTTCCTTTTATTGTTAACCATTTCCCACCCCGTCTCTTCACAAAATCTGCTCACTTCTCCCTCCCTCCACATTTGGGAACAGACACTCTCCTCTCCCACCACCCTCTTTTCTGCTTTTAAAAGAGATAAACATTGATGTGTAGAATTTGTAGTTGACGTGACCATGAACATCATTTCTTTGCTTTGCCTCTTTTATGTTTTTTTTAAAAATTTTCTTTTAAAGGAAGGATAAAGTGAATTTCCCGTGAGCTGCCTCTTCACCCCTCCCTCCCCCCCTCCCCCCCAATCTATTAAGGTTGGGTTTTCACTTCTGCGAAAGAGAAATAAAAGGGTTTATACTGGACATTTCCAAAACTGGACTTGCCAATCATGTGTCTTAGAACATGGGGGTAACCATCCGAGATCCCAAACCCATGGATAGCCTTCTTTACTTTTATAGAGGGAGGAAGATTCTGTGCTGCTAAGTCAAGGTGTAATTGTGAAGGGTATCCCATCTTATTTTGATATTTAATATCTTTATCCCACTCTTGAAGCAACTGAAGGATTCTTCGTTTTCTTCTGTGTATGTGTGTATATGTATACGCATATGATTATGGACTTGTTCCTGCCTGTTGCATTGTTTGAGATGCCTTATTTTAGGATGGAGAGAATCTTTCCATTTTCCTTATTTTCTTTTGAGTTTTAGGGTCCCCCATAACTCCACCATATTCTGGTCATTTCTTGCATCAACCCAACCTTGATTTTTGCCATCCAAATGATAGTTTTTCCACGGGTTCTCCAAGGGGGTTCTTTTGAGTTTTGGAATCTAATGTATATCTTAGAACTAAAAGGCATCCTCCACTGTACTTTCCCTAAGGTTACCTGATTCTCTGTAGAGTGGACCCTCTCTTATTTAAACTCTTCCATCTCTATTGGAAATAGGTTCTTAGAAAATCCAAGCCACAGACTCTTTGAGGGATTGAGAGCTCAGAGAAGGGAACTGGCCAGGGAGCATCTTCTAAATCCTGCACTTAAAAAGTGTATAGTATTGAAAAAAATAAGGCATCAGTCTATTCTTGTCACTATCCCAAAATAAGAGGGCCAGCAGTGGAACTTAATTGTCCCCATGGCTTGTTTCTTATATTCTAACAACACATGAGTTGTTTTATAGCTGGGAATCTTAAGTCTACTACAGGATTGCCCTTCTTGAGCTCAATCTTCATCCTTCTACTAATAGTAATATTACTATTGCTTAACCACCCACAGAGTGTTGTAAAGTGCTTATGGGGCAGGATATAAGCCTAAATGTTATTGCTCGTGTAGTCTTAGAATGTTGGGTCACTTGACTGAGTGAAAACTGAGATACGGGAGAGACATGTAGGACTGATTCCCAGAATCCCTTGGTGCAAGAAAAAGAAAATGGACGGAACCTGGTGTGGGCAAATAGAAATCCTTGCTGTTCTTTGATCACGATACATCTGGATTAGCTTTGGAGTTAAGGTTGTGCAACCTTTTGTGTGGAACAGCGGTTCTGTACTTGTACGGAAGGTTTGAGGGACCTGGTGCCTGAATCAAACCATGCACCCGTTGAATGTTTTGGTTGACGTGTGGAATGAAATAGGGCTGTACAGAAGAAATGGTAGTTTCTTTGGTCTGGACACAAGCGGTGTGGGAGGCCTGCAGAAAAAGCCAAGGACTTTGCCAGCTCAGGTTAGTAAAGGAAAGATGGCATAATGGACAATGAGGAAGCTGATGTGATGCTCCTTGCTAGACATGGGTGACAGTTGAGGTCAGAGACAAAAGTCTCTGGGAAGGTTTTGGGTTGAACCAGTGGAATATACTATTTGGAACTGCTGAGGGAGAGAATAGGTGTCATTCATCAGCTACAATCTGCTTGCCTATTCAGTTTTTGCTTGGCCATAACCCAGAATCACTAAAGCATTGAGCTTTTGGGTTTTCTGCAGAAGTTCTAAAACTCTGCATTGTTTGGGGTTGAGACTAAAATGCTTCTACTTTGTGTATACATGCATGCACTTGGCACAGACTCAAAACTGCAGTGTCCAGTCACGGCTCTTTAAATCCCTTGTGCTAACCGAAGGCAGTGTATCCCTAACAAGCTAATAACACTGCCAACGTCTCCTGAATCATCCTTCTTTTAAATATCTGAAGGTCTTTTAAAGGTCTGAATGTGGGTGGATTAGAAGTGTTCATTTAGGTGCACAGAGGCCTCTTAATATTTATTATTGGTCCAGTGAAGTGGATGCGCCTTTTGCCTTGTTCCAATCCCGTGATAGAATCCAAATATGCATATTGCATAAGTTGCGAGTTTTAACTGTATGTAGCCCATACAGGAACTGGCATAATCCACAGTTCTTACCTGATCCGAATATATAGAACTATAACCACTTCCATTAAACCTTCTAGAAGGTTAACATGCAAAGATTTTTAGAATCTCCCTTTTCTTTCCCATTCTTGTTGGGTTGGTTGAGTCATTATTGGGTCGCATCCTTCCTTTATTGTTTACTTCTTCCTTTTTTAAATAGCAGTCTTGGTGTACACCTATGGGATTAATTTGTGCCTTTACTTAATCTTGGATGCAGGTCTTGGAAGGGTTTTATAGCCCCGTTCTTAAATCCGGTCGACTGTGCTAAAACAAGATTTTAAGTTTCTACTTTCCCTAAGCTAGACCAGAAGCCCCTTGAAACCTAAGAGGATGAAGGATATGATTGCATTCAAGGCCAAAAGTCCTAAGGATTTTACCCAGCACGTATTTTACACGATGAGATATTAAGATTCCCAGATACTCCCTCATTAATAAGTCATGAACACTCCTTCCTCTTTCTGCTAACTTAAGGTCAGAAGTGGCCCAGTCCAACATGTCACCTGTCACCTCTTCCATGCATAGACCAAGCAGAACAGAGCATTTCTTCCCAGTTTCTGAGTTGACATCCACAGATGTAGTCTACTGGTCTCTTCTGGATCCTTGACTGTCTATATTTTTTCAGCTTGTCAGTACGGACTGGGCTCACCTCTGTATCACTGTATTTACTGGAATATGTGTGAAGCGTACATGCTTTTGTAGATCCCCGATGTTCTGGTAGCTGTGGAGCAATGGATGTTCCTCCTCCCATACATTCAGCCATATGAAGATAGTCCCTAGGACACTTCCTATCTTTGGTCGACATTCGCCAATGCTCAGACCGGAGTGGGAAAAAACCCTGCCATTTGGATGCTGAAATGTATGTGATAGGTATGAAATTTGAAGTTAACCTGCCCTTTCCCCCCCTTTTTTTGTTCGTGTTGTTACGGGCAACGAATTCCAGACCATTTTCAAATGGATTTCTTAATTTTTTTTTTTAATTTACTTACGAGATTGCACTTTTATTAAGAAAATATTTAGTAAGTGTAATATATATATGTGTTCAGCTGTTTTTAATGTTATTTTTTTCATTTGTGCTTTAATAATGCATTTAAGCATTTTTTTTAAAAAAAATGGGAGAACAATTCTTTTGTAAAAAAAAAAAAAAAACAACTCCAAGCAACCGTATTTGTTTCAGTTGTATGGAATGAATGCAGCTCCCTGCTATTCACTTGAGTCTTCCTTCCTTCTTTCTTTCTCTCTCTCTCTGTCTCTCTTTCTCCCTCCATGTTCATAATTGTTGTTTTGCTTTGTGCTTTGAGATGGGGAATAGAAAAAGTTTTTTAAAAAATTGCAGGCTATATAAGCATGTTGTTTCCTGTGAGAGCTCACTCGCTCCGTGTGTCTGTTTTTAATGACTGTCCTATGTAAATGCATAAAAAAAAAATGACACTGAACATGGAATTAATTTACCGCAGTGACTTGATGCTCTAAAAGAAGAGAAAAATCATAATGACAGATAATTAAACTATGTAGAATTTAATACTAGCTGGATTTTACCCCTTGGATTTTGTGCTTGTGAACATGAGTGAAGGAGCTGTAAGTGCTAAGATGATCATGTGTGTAGACAAACAAACAACAAAAAAAACCCCCCAACCCTAATATTTGACCATTTTCTGGATGGGGAAAATAATGGCATAAAACAAGTCGTGTGTTCTTTCTTTCTTAAAAATTCTGTGTTACATTACCATGGGAACTCCTTAATAAAGATGACATGTTGTTGTTTCAGTTGCTGAGCTGGGGTGTCCAAGAGGTTGATGTTATTATGTGTGAGTCTGTTGTGTGTTTGTCCAAGCCGAGATTGCAGTTTGTGCCAACCTTCCACAACCTGGAGACTTCCAAAGGCCTGAACTTCAACAACTGTAAATCCTTGGCCAGGTGTGGAGGGAAAGGCTGGTATCACCATTTCTTGGTGAACTTCAGGTATACGTGGAACTTTGCATCGAACTCAACTTGAAATGTAACAAGAAGACCCCAACTTCAAGCTATAGTTAGTGATGCTGACTTTTAAGGATCCAGGTGCTAACGCCAAACCGTATATAATAAACTCTGAAAATTTCCAAAATGTGCAGATTCGCAAACATCTGTTTAGTGTCAATAATAGAGCACCAAATGTGAAATGTAGTGAGACCGGGCCAAATTGGGTATGTGTTTATTTTTACTTACATGTGCAAAGCATCACATGGAGACCCCAAGCATGCACAACTTTGTGGATTTATTTTATGCACAAAGGTGCCTTACACCTTTATTCCACTTAATTCAAAATTTAATTCTCAGGTTGTGCCTGCTGCAAGTCATTTCTGCTGAGTGAAATGGAATTTCTACTGAGGTTGGGCCGCATTCTTGTTGCCCTTTGCACTAAACTACAAAGAGGTTTATCTTAGTTGATTGTGTTAAGTTAGCCATTGTGTACATATTGAATTATGATTTTGCAGTATTTGAAATGATTCAAGATAATACTCATTCCATTTTCGTCTTTCTGAATAGTGATTTTATTAAAGATTACAACAAAAACTAATACAAAAAATAAGGTGCAGAAAAGAAAGTAAACAAAAAAATAGAAAGAAATGGAAAAGTAAAATAAGAAAAAAGAAAGAAGTGGCTCTATCACAAGTATAAACAATTAACTGCAACCTGTAACCTTCTTTTAAAATACAACAAATGATCTCTATTTATATCCCATCTCTTATCTATAGACAAATTATTAAAACCTCATTTCAGACCTGATATAAGCAAAAGTCCATTAAGGGTTACCAGAGATAACAACATACCTATTTTAATCTTGATCAACTAAACTTTATATCCCTTCCTTTAACTTCTAATGATCTTGATTGTTAGCCTCTTTAAATAATCTAGAATCTTGATTTTTTTAAATCATTTTTTCTTTGTCCCTCTTCCCCAAAAAAAACCCCTCCAAGACCCTTTCAAAGCTTTAAAATCCAATATAAGAAAATTATTCTTTGTTATTTGCATACCACCTTTAATTATTAAGATGTAAGATGGTTTCTTTTCATGTATCCAGTGTGACATCTTTTTCCATATATTAGTTTCCTTCCATTTTAAAATCTTCTTTCAAATCAGACTCCTGTCAGATAAAACTTGTTCCTGTTCCATAACGCCTTTTAAACAGAGGCAGACAGTATTAGAATTCTGGGTTCATTGTTCCAAAATATATCAACATGGTCAGGATTAAAATTTTTAAATGTTGAAAGAGTGGATGGAAACTAAACAAGGAGAGAAGCAACCTAGAACTAAGAAATTTCCTAACAGTGAGAACAATAAACCAGTGGAACAACTTGCCTACAGAAGTTGTGGATGCTCCATTAGTGGACAATCATTTGTCCAGAATGATATAGGGCAGGGGCATCAAACTCTATTTCATTGAGGGCCCAATCAGGATGACCTCGGGGCTGGGGTGGCCATAGCCAGCTCAACGTCACATGTTGGGGGCCAAGTGTTAAGGCAGAATTTATCTCAGATCCTCCCTCCTATAACCCTTCCTTCCTCCCTCTCCCTCCCTCCCTCCCTCCCTCCCTTCCTTCCTTCCCCTCTTCTTTTTCCTTCCTTGCTCTCTTTGTATCTTTCCTTTTTCTTTTCTCTTTCCCCTTCTCATTTCGTGTCCCTTCTTGCATGCTCAAAATGCAAAGGGGGAAACATTTCTCCTTTTGTTTTAAGTTTGTTTTGCTAGCCTTTTGCCAGTGAAAACAGAGTCTGGCGGGTCATGTGCAGCCCCCCTGGCAGTAGTGAAATCCCATTTTTTTTACTACCGGTTCTGTGGGCGTGGCTTGGTGGGCATGGTGTGGCTTGGTGGGCGTGGCAGGGGAAGGAGATTGCAAAATCCCCATTCCCTCCCCACTCCTGGGAGAAGGATTTTGCAAAATCTCCATTCCCACCCCACTCGGGGGCCAGCCAGAGGTGGTATTTGCTGCTTCTCTGAACTGCTCAAAATTTCTGCTACCGGTTCTCCAGAACCTACTGGATTGGGCTCCGTTTTAGCTGACAAAGGGCTGCAGGAGGCCGTTGCGGCCGAAAACAGGGCCTGGGGCGGCCGCGTGTGGCTCTCCCAAGCTCCGTTTTCGCTGGATGAGGCATTGTGCGACATTCAGGGTGGTCCCTTGGACCCCTTGGTATATGGTTGTCTGCTTGAGCAGAAGGTTGGACTAGGAAACTGCCAAAGACCCTTGCAATTCTTGTTCTGTTATTTTACTTCATTCTTTAATTGCAAGTTGAGTTTGATGGCTATTTCCTCGTCTACCAGAGTGTAAACGCACCAAAACCACTCACTTCCTTGTTGGGGCAGAAATTACTGAAGAGCTGATCTAGTTACCAGCTCTTCATTCCTGGGCTCTGCTTTTTGAATCATCTACAATCTTCCAATTCTTTCCCAGAGGTCCAGTAATTTTAATTCAAGAGTAATAAACCTGGTCTATTAACCATAATTACAAAAGTTGCTTCCAGCTTCTTAGGGTTTCTCATATCTTCCATGGGATTTCTTCCCACACCCTCCAAAGAAACCAAGCCAAGCCATGGATAATAGAGCACATTAAAAAGAAAAGCCAAAAGTTCAGCAATCGTAATGGAAACAAAGTGCTCCCCGAATTAAAAGTGAAAATGCTTTCGCTGTGACTAACCCCATGCAACTTTAGCCACTTAATTTTGATTGCCATAATTACCACCTGAGGAGAACAAAGATCCTGGTGTGCAGCTTGTTTGTTCAATGTGCCTTCTGGATTATTTGTCTACTGAGAGTTCCTGAATGAAGAATTGTTTCATCCAACCAGGTGCGTTAATTACACACAATATGTTTTCTTTGAATTTCCATTTTAATAGCACCATAATACCTTTCACTATGGGGTTTAATGCAACCTGCCTTTCTCTGACTGGGATAAGTGAGTTGGAGAGAGAAATTATCGGCAATCTCCTTCCGAGATTGTTGGTGGAACCCCATTATGAGTTATCTTTCTGGACAGCAATCAGATTAGCCTGGAACTCTTCAAAAAATGACCACTTTCACTTTATGAACCCTTAGAATCAATAGAAGAATCCTAAAATGAAATCCTAATTTCCAGGACCTACTTCCAAGTGCTGCTACTGGGTTTACAAAGGTCCTTTCGCTTTCTTTGTGAACCAGGAAAACAAAAACTTACTCAGGTTATTCAGTCATTTTCAGTAGACATAGTTCTCAAGTTTTCCATTGATATTTATTCAACAGCGTCTAAATGGGACTAGAACTGATCCAAAACTGTGTGCTTGACTTCAAAGAAACATGTTTTGCCCACTCCAAATGGAAGAAAATATCCATTTTGCCACATATAATGTAAACTATAGCCAGTGTGGGACAGGAAGGCCCATCTTCACTAATAGGCAGAGAGCTTAGATAAATGAAGCTGTCTGACACATATTGCTTTTTCTCTCTTTACATTTGATCATTTTTAGCCGAGAATGTTACTGCTAATTAAAGTATATTAACCATGGAAGACACAAAACTAACATTTGAGAACACTAGATGGCAGCAAAGCTCATGGAAAAACAACAAATCTGAAAATATGGTTGGTCCTTGACTTATGACCACAATTGGGATAAGAATTTTGGTCACTAAGGAGGGGGGGGGGTTGTTAAGCGAGTTATGTGACCAGAGATGATTTTACAACAATTTTTACCATGGTCTTTAAGTGAAGACTTTTCTTGCAGAAAGAGACCAAGGGCCCTTTAACTCCAGTCTCAATAGTGATATTAATGGAGCTAAAGAATCACCTGATCCTTCTATGCTGATCAGGGTTTTCTTAGATTGCAAACACATGTAGAAGAGTTGCTATTCTGTTAATAGTTAAATTAGCCTTCAAACTGCTTTGAATTCTCCTGATGCGGCTTCATTTTTCTGTGAGTAATTCACATTTTATTGGTTTCTTCAGGTTCTTCAGTCTAGGCAGGACATTTATTTGGTATTGTATGTAACATTTTTTCGCATACCATGTGGCTGGATTGATTTGTATAAATCTTTTCCTGTGCTGCCCACCAGGAATTTGGGATAAATCACATTCCAAAATAAAATATAATTAATTGAAAAGCAGGAGAGATAGGTAAAATGGACATTAATCCAACTCAGGCTTGACTGAATCTCCACATCTTTCTTGTGGAGACCAAACTGGATTCAGAATTCCAAGTGTGGCCTTACCAAGGCATTATAAAGTGGTATGTGCTGTGTGAAAACTGGTCATAAGTCATTTTCTTCAGTACCGTTATAACTTTGAACGGTCACTAAATGAACTTGTAAGTTGAGGACTACCTAATGCCTTGCCAAGGCCGCACTTGAAATACCGCATCCAGTTTTGGTCGCCACGATGTAAAAAAGATGTTGAGACTCTAGAAAGAGTGCAGAGAAGAGCAACCAAGAGGATTAGGGGACTGGAGGCTAAAACATATGAAGAACGGTTGCAGGAACTGGGTACGTCTAGTCTAATGAAAAGAAGGACTAGGGGAGTCATGATAGCAGTCTTCCAATATCTCAGGGGCTGCCCCAAAGAAGAGGCAGTCAAGCTATTCTCCAAAGCACCTGAGGGCAGGACAAGAAACAATGGGTGGAAACTCATCAAGGAGAAAAGCAGTCTAGAACTAAGGAGGAATTTTCTGACAGAACAATTAATCAATGGAACAACTTGCCTCCAGAAGTTGTGAATGCTCCAACACCAGAAGTTTTTAAGAAGAGATTGAACAACCCTTTGTCTGAACTGGTATA